TTTCTTGGCATTTCTTCTTCGGAATTCAAAAATAATTTTAATTAATTAATTTTCGAACTTTTGTGATTCGAAAATATTTTTAAATTAATTAAATTCTTTTTTTGACATTTGTTTTTCAAAAACATTTCTAATTAATTCTTTTTCGAAAATTTTGAAATTACGTATTTGAACGGTATTTCTTCCTCGAACTTTGAAAATAATTTTAATCAATTGTTGTTTTTTTTTTTTTTATCAGGGCCCAGTGCCCAAGGTGAAAATACAATTAAACACAAGTTTCAAATTCAGGGGCCACGAGGCCTCCAACTGCATTCAGGCAGTGGAGCCCGTCCCCTGTGAAAAGGAACCCAAAAAACGACAAAACGTCGATCGAACAAAAGAAAATTTCTAAGAAAAAATTATCGATCCTAAAAACAGAAATTGCTAACCCTAACAAAAACGCGAAAACAACAGTAATCAACAAAATCCCGAAAATACGTATGCTGTCTACTGCCTAAGACGGCAGAGAAGCACCACGAGAAGCAATTCCAACAGAAAAAACCTAAAAGCAATAATTCCAACAGAAGTCCGAAAAAAAAAACTAGAAAGAAGGGGAAAAAAAAAACAAAACCTTTATAACAAGTAGACAACAAAAAGCAATTCCAACCGAAGTCCAAAAAAAAAACCTAAAAAATTCTTTGTAACAAGCGCACACCAACCCCACAAAAGACCCAAGACGTTTTGTAGCAAAAACTAAGCCAATCCCACAATAACCAATGAAAAACAAAAGCCATGTCCACCAACAAGCCATCTAGGAACCATAACAACACAAAACCAAATTATTCGCAAAAACGTACGCTCGTCTACAGCGACCGAGAAAAACAATCAAGTCTCGAAGATCTGTTGTTGTCGAACAGCATCGTACAAAAGGCCTCTCATCTCCAGCAAGTCAGCGCGCAGTTTCCCTTGGCAGAGAAAACGAGACGTACGGGAAGCCGTAACTCCCCTGGCCTAGCAACTCGGTGTACAGGAAGACCAATCCGTGCCGACAAGGAAGTCCTGTTGATCGAAAGACCTTGATAACGTGAGTTTTGTTATTGAGCTCCATATCTGAGATCAGCAGCACTAAACGCGCCCCGATCTTGGTTACATATAGCGTATTAAAAGGGGAGGCACACCAGCGCTCCAAATCAAGCTATTCATACCCACTGCTGGCGCGCACTCCTTGAGGCACGCCAGACGAGCTCCATATCCACAATGCATAGACATGGCCGCCGTGGGCCGCCGGAGCCAACCAGGTATGGTAGCCATGGCCCGGGCCAAACCCTAGCTCCAGCGCAAGCAGCTTCGGGCACTCAGCGTTAGGCCACTTAGCAACGCACCGCCACTGGTGTCCCCCCTGGTGGGGCGTTAGCGCTGCGTCGCCGCAGCGCTAACGCCCCAGCCACACAGCACATTTCTGTCCTCTTGTTTTTTTTCGCTTTTTTTTGCAATTCTTTTTCAAAATTCTCTTTCGAAATTCTTTTTTCATCATTCGGAAGTACTTTTCTTTTTGGAAACGTTATTCTGAACTACTAATTTCGACTAAATTCGATTAATTCACGACCGAGGCTACCAGAGTGGCCCGGGGCCACTTGCCCGGCCGGGCCAAAAAATATATAAAAAAATAAAAGTAAAAAAATATTTTTAAGATTGATTTTTCGTTTTAAATTTGGTAAAGAATTTCAATGTGACCCTCAGGCAAAAGTTGTTCAGATTATTTTTCTGCATAACATAGTTGTTCTTCGGATTTTTTTTTTTTTCTTTTTTTGCTGGGACCTTCTTTGGTCCTTGCACGGGCTGGGTGGCCCGGCTGGTAGCCTAGTTCACGACTGAATTAATCTTTTTATTCGAAATTAATCACCCTTTTTCGAAATTTTAACATCTTCTTCTTGTAAAATTCCTGCAAAATACCTTTTGAATTTCACCAATTATTCTTAGTCTTCTTGTAAAATTCCTGCAAAATACCTTTTGAAGTTCACCAATTATTCTTAGAAAATTTCAATTCTGAATTAATCTATTCTAAATTAATTCTTGTTTTGTGAATTTTATTTGGGAATCACCTTTATTGCTAAATCAATTGATGACGTTCTATTCTTGTGTTCCCCTCTACTCCGGGCATGCCACGCTTGTAGGCGAACAAACACCAGCACCCGATGCCGCCATCGCCCTCGCGGCACTTTTCCGCATGATGACATCCCTCCAGTCATCCATGGATGATATCAAAACATCCGTTTCCTCCATCTCTACTCGTGTGACCACCATTGAAAGTCACACCCCCACCATCCAGGTCGTCACCACCACATCCCCCCCCCCCCCCCCCGGTGCCACCCCCCCCCCCCCCCCCCCCCCCCCCCCACCTACACCAATCACCCCGTCCCCCACATTCACCCCCTCTCCGCTAGCACGTTATCCACACCTCCGCCTTCATCCACCACTACGTCCACCTTGGTCATCAAGATGACAACCCCCGCCATCACGCAGTTATCAACCATTCCCCCCCAGTCAAAACCCCTCGTGACTTCATCCACCATCACTTCCACCCATACCCAGATCACCCCCACACCTCAAGCCCTGCTCCCCGTTATCCCAATACCTCCTCCGTCCACATTCCTCCCGACCAATCCCACTATCGACTTCACCCGGGTACCGTCCTCCTCACCCAAATTTGATTTCAACACCCTTAACGGGTAACATTCCCCCATCCTTCCAGTCAACAGATACCCCCCCTTTCACTGGCCACCACTGTTTCCCCCATCTCTGCTCGCGTGACCACCATTGAAAGTCACACCCCC